AGAGACAGTGCGATTGGCACAGGACAGAGCGGAGTTTAGGGCTTTAGTACATAGGGTCGCTATGAGTCGGAAGTGACTCGATGGCACATAACAACAACAACAACAACAACAACAACAACAACGTATTAGACTGCAAGCCAAATTATTTGTGATCTAAATACACCAGCAGCACTCTGAGGGAGAAAGGTTAACTTATTGGAGGACTGTTATGAGTTAAACTTGACTCAGTAGCAATTGTTTGTCTGTTTGTTTTTTTTTTTTGTCAAGAACTCTGGTGATGGAGGAGCTAAATGCTCATTGGCTTGTAAAAAAAGTGGATGGTTCACTGTTTTTCAGTGCTGTGTTGTATTCCATTGTGTGAATATACCACAATTTCTCTATCCATTCATTTGTTGATGGACACTTGGGTTGTTTCTGTCTCTTTCCCATTATGAACAGTGCAGCAATAAGCATGGGTGTGCATATATCTGTTTGGGTGGCAGTTCCAGTTTCTTTAGGATATATTTCCAGTAGTGCAATTGCTGGGTCAGATGGTATTTCTATTTCCAACTTTTTAAGGAAGCACCATAGTGCCTTCCATAGTGGTTGCACCATTTTACACTCCCACCATCAGTGAATAAACATTATACAAAATGAGTGACCCTGGAGGACATAATGCTGAGGGAAATACCTCAGTCACAAAAGGGCAAATACTACATAATGCCACTGTTCTAAAACAAGACTGACATGGGGGTTGGGGCAAACTAAGAAAAGAGGGGATAAATAATGGGCACTGCATTTAAATAGATGAGGGAAAGAACTGTCTCAAAACCATATATGATTAGATATTATTTGCATGACAACAGTACTGAATAAGAAGTGTACAGCAAAGTGGACTAGGGGGCAGGGTAGAAGGAGGAAATTATGCAACAATGAAATAATCTTTTTAAAGAGAATAGTGAACTGGGAGGGTAAGGAGCAAAATGTGCAGCAATGAATAAATGGAAATCCAAGTTTTCTGTTAGCTTTCATTAAAATATCAGTTAAAAAAAAGAGTGGATGGTTTGCACTCTCCAAGCTGCTTCATGGAAGTAAGATGTGGCAGGCTGTTTTGTTAAGAGTTATGACCTTGGAAACCTTATGGACAATTCTGAACAATCCTCTGCCTACTTCTGTCTAGTCTATTTCAACTCACAGGATGCTACTTTAAGTTTCTGGAGTTGTGAATCTTTACAGAAAGAGATTGTCCATCTTTCCCTATGGAGCAGTTGACACTTTTGAACCAATGACTTTCTGGTTATCAATGTAACACAGAATTCACTAGGCCTCTAGAGCAACTTGGGATTGCTATACATTTGGAATGACTTGCTAGAAAGAAATTAGATTCTGTAGGAAGATTTATGCTGTTAACCCAAATGCTAAGCCTCTCTTGCAGTTTGAATTCATCTGTGGTTCCCAAGGAGGAAGATGGTAATTTTCTTTCCTTCGATTTGCATCCTCAGAAACCTGTTAGTGTTCGTTATTAAGTTGGTTCAGCTATTATGACAATGAGTGAATAATTGAATTCCTTCTATAAGATGGTGGTTCTGAGCACACTAATTGATGCCAGGGGTTGGGAAGAGTATGGATGTGGAGAGATTTTTAGTAGTTTATGTTAGGATGGGACAGTCTTCACTTGACACTTTCAGGTTTTTGTCTATTCTTTACTCTTCCGGGCAAAGTAGAATATAAAGAATTTGTTTTGAAATACTAGAATCTGTCATCTTATCAGTCCTTTAATTATACATTGTATTTATTGTGATTCAGAAATTCCACAAACACTTGTAAAATTAGTCACATAGTCCATATTCCTTTAATCTTGTATATGAAAAAATCACATTTACCTTCTTTGATAACCTTATTGCCAATTTTATTTTTTTAAATTTAAATTGTTATTTGAATGAAAGTGTATAAAACAATTGTTTTTCTATTCAGCTGTCCACATATAATTTTATTTTATAAAATTAATTACAATACTCACCACTTTGATTTATCCTTCTTATCTACATCTTGCTACTTACTGGAGTTATCCTTGGGTAAATGCTACTCCTTTGGCCCTTTGCCATTGGTTATTTTAAGAGGTGAGTTTCCCCCTATTGTTATTGCTCACGTTTTAAGCCTGTAATTTTTTTAGCTGAGAATTAAGCCATGGAAGTGAATTTTGTTCCAGATTCACAGGATGACTAAGGATCATGCTTTACTGTAAGGTGCTGCTGAGTCAACTTTGACTCATAGAGACCCTATGAACATTAGATCTGAACCTTGCCCAGTCATGCACCATCCACACAATCTCCATCATGCTCAAGCTCATTGTCCCCATCACTGTGTCAATCCATCTTGTTAAGGGATTTCCTCTCTTTCTCTGATCCTCCACCTTTCCCAGCATGCTGTCTTTATCCAAGGATTCATCCCTTCTGACAACATGCCCAAAATATGTGAGGAGTTTCACCATCTTTGTCGTTAAGGAGCACCTTCTTACTCTTCCTCCAAGACAGATTTGTTTGTTCTTTTGGCATTCCATGGGATATTCAGTACTCTTCTCCAACATAATTCAAAAGTATCAATTCTTCAGTCATCCTTATTCATTGTCCACCTTTCAGATACGTAGGAAGCAATTGAAAATATCATAGCTTGAATCAGGCACACTTTAGTCTTTAAACTGACATCATTGTGTTTTAGAGAGGTCCTGGACAGCAGATTTTCCCAATGCAATATGTATTTTGATTTATTGATAGCTGTTACCATGAGTATTGATTGTGAATCCAAGTAAAATGAAATCATTAACAACGTTAATCTTCATCTTTTGGTCCACTGATGATGGTTTTTATTTTCTTTATGTTGAAACGTAATCCATATAGAAGGCTATTGTCTTTGATCTTCTGCAGCAAGCAATTCAAGTACTTTTAACATTCTACAAGTTAGTTTGTGTTATCTGTATAACACAGGTAAGTTTTCCTCCGGTCCTGATGCCACATTCTTATTCATATAATCCAGTTTCTCAAATAATTTCCTCAACATATAAAATGAATAAATACGGAGAAAGGATACAATTCTAATCATACCTTTCCTGATTTTATGCCATGAAGTGTTTCCTTGTTCTATTTGGACAATAGCTTCTTGGTCTGTGATTATGCAGAGGTGTTCAGTAGCATGGAAGATAAAGCACACACACACACACACACACACACACACACACACACACACACACACTGAATAATATTGAGATGAATGAATATCCCAGAATTTAATTGTGCTCATATGAAACCTACATATAGACCAAGAAGCTGTTGGCTGAATAGAACAAGGGAAAACATCAGGAAAGTTGCATGAAGTGTCAGTCTCAGGAATTCCACCTTGTTACTTTAAATTCCACCTTTAAAAATATGTTACCTTTGTTGTTGTTGTTGTTATGTGCCATTGATATGTACAAGAGCCCTAAACCCTGCACTACCCTATGACAACCTCATTGTCTTCGACACATCTACTCCCACTACCCCAATCACTGAATTGATTCATCTCATCGAATGTCTTCCTCTCCTGTGCTGTCTCTCCACTCTCCCAAACATGATGTCCCTCTCCAAGGACTGGTCCCTCCTTGCAACATGCCCAAAGTATGTCAGACAAAGCTTCAGAATTCTTGCCTTCATGGGGCAGCCTGGCTTCACCCTCTCCAGGACAAACCTTTTCGTCCATGGTATACTCAATATTCTTCTCCAACACTACAGCTCAAAGGTATCAATTCTCCTTCTGTTATCCCTTATCATTGTCGAGCTCTCTGATGCATAGCAAGTAATTGCAAAGACCATGGCAGGTATCAGGCGCACCTTCGTCTCCAGACTGACATCATTGCTCTTCAGTACTTTAGAGAGGTCTCAAACCACAGACTTTCCCCATCACAATTGTTGCTGTTATGATGTGCCATCGCTTTGCTTGTGACTCATAGTGAGTGACCCTTTGTTACAAGAGCCCTAAATACCTCTCTATTCTGTGCCAACCTTGCTGTCTCAAACACACTCATTCCCACCACTCCAATCACAGAATCAATCCATCTCATCGATGGTCTTCCTCTCCCGCACCATCCCTCCACTCTCCCAAACGTGATGTCCTTCTCCAAGGACCAGTCCCTCCTTGCAACATGTCCGAAGTTTCAGAATCCTTGACTCAAAGGAGCACTTCAGCTTCACCCTTTCCAGGACAAACTTGTTTGTTCTCCTAGCAGTCCATGGTATAGTCAACGCTCTTCTCCAGCGTCACATCTCAAAGGCATCAATTCTCTTTGTATCATCCCTAGTCACTGTCCAGGTCTCTGATGCATAGCATGCAATTGCAAAGACTATAGCCCAGATCAGACACACCTTAGTCTCCAGCCTGATGTCATTGCTCTTCAATACTCTGGAGAGGTCCCTGACAGCTAACTTTTACAATGTGATTTGCCTCTTGATTCCTGTCTGATGGTACCAAGAGTGTTGACTGTGGAACCAAACAAACTAAAACTTAACCATCTCAGTCTCTTCACCATCCATCCTGATGCTGTCAATTGGCCCCGTGGTGTTACCTTTAAAATGGGTAAATATCAATAAAAGAGGATCTATTGGAGTTCTCAATAGTATAGTAAGTAGAAATTTTGTTTTTAATATTTTTATTTCTGTCATTTGCTATCAAATAGGAACAAACTCATAGCTGACCCCACTCCAGCAAGTTTTCGGAGGCTGTAAATCACATGGGAAGAGATTTCCCATCTTTCTCCCATGGACCAGCTATTGGATTTAAACTGTATATCTTTGAGTTGGCAGCACAACGCCTTACTCCACCAGAAAACCTTTTAAACATCTAATAAAGGGTATTCATAATAAGCTAATACAACAACAACAACAATAAGCTAGTGAATTTTAAGGGCCCTATTTTCAACTATTGTCAAACTCATTAAAATTATATTCTTTTAACATTACATACCTATAATTTAAATGTTTTTATTGTTACAGATTTTATTTAGCCTGTATCCAGATCAAGAAAAATTCTGGCAGCTGTTGTCTGTGTCACCACTGGAAAGCTACTGTATCCAAAATACACCTACTGGCCATCAGCATGGCTGTGGTTCACAGCCAAGGACACTGAAGACATAAACAACTGCTTTTGAGATGGCAACCTGGTGATCACTGTTTTTACCTACACATTTTGTTTATTCAAGACTTTTGAGGGTATGGAGAAGGAAACTCTAGAAAACTTCTTGGAGGTAGAGAGGATTCAGGGGAAGAGCTGAGGAAGTGATAAGGGCCTGCTTGGTACTTCCAAGTGTAGAGCACCAAGTTCTGTTTGCATTTCCTCACTCATTTCCTTTTGATGTTCAGTTTGAATACTTCTTGTTTCCCTGAATTCAGGTGTTCTCCTTTGTTCCACAACTCTGTGATACTTGCTAATGAGCCCATCTGAGACATTTTGGTTTTTATTTCTGTGTTTTCTTTTAAATATTTCCTAGCATTTGTCTTTCAGCTGACATTCCCTATCTAATCTTACATATTATATACTTTTCCTCTTATAAACATTATACTAATGAAATAATGTAGTAATTTCCTGACATAATTTCAATTTCATTTTTGAGTCTGGTTCTGATGATAGCTTGGTCTCTTCAAACTGTTTTCTCATATTTTTAAATGCTGTTTAATTTGTTCTTGAAAATCAGATATTACAAAGGACACTAGATATTATGGTTTTTGGCTGGGGGCATTTTGTGTAAATCTAGTCTCTATGTTCAGTTTCCCCCTGGACTACTCTTTAGAGAGTGTTTGTCTTTCATGTTTTTGTTGGATGGTGGTTAGTGTTGTGCTAGTGGTATGGGGAAGGAGGGCAATCTTTGATTTCTTGATATAGCCTCCCTCTTCCTTCTGATTCTCTCTAGGTCTGGTGCTCAGCCTATGCATGTTCCTACACCTCCCTGGAGAGATGCTCATTTTTGCCCTTTTCTCACCTTCCAGGTCCATGGCTTCCATCCTTCAGGTTCCACAGTCACAGAGATTGTGAAGTGAGCAGATATTGTGAAGGTGGAGAAGTGGGCAAGGTTTTATTTGCTTGTAAATGGGGAAGTTAGGAGCTTAAGGTGATTCAGTGACACCTAACAACAACAATAACTACTTCTTCCTCTGCACATCATGGCTTTTGTTTCCTAGAGGAAGATGAGGTGAGTCTGTATGAAGCTTTGACAGTGATGCTATGCTCTTCTGAAGCTGTCACTGTAAAAGAAGCTTCTCAGGATTCTTCAAGAGTGCTCATCTTTCCTGTAAGAACCTAGAGGTGATCCTGGAACATAAGTATGTCAGAAGGCAGAAACACCCCTATTCTGGGGCTCCCAGGACTTCTCCATTCTATGATAGTCCATGATTGACCTTAATCAATTTAGACATTTTCTAGTTTAATTCTTCCTACTTCTGTTGCTTAGTGGTGCAGTGTCCTGGGTGCCCACTGAAAACAAATTACACTAAGCTTTAAGAATAGGAGGAGAGGAAATCTAAAGCTTTAAAGGGGGCCTCACAGAATGAGCGTTAGTGCTGGTGAGTTATAGGTAATATGTCTAGTTGACTTTGGAAGGCCAATAAATGTCTTCATGGTGTGGCTCCTGGGTGGGAAAACCCTTTGTCCTTCTTTCTTGCCTTCTGCGCAAGCTTCTAGAAAACTTGGACTATAGAATATTAGAAAGGATAGCAAGTGAGGGACAACATGGACTTGTGCTTTGCCAAAAAGAAGTTATTTTTGAGAAAGCACTACTCTCCTTTAATTGGATAATAGCAACATCACTTTTCTCTTACGTGGAATAATATGTTTCCTTAATTAAAGTCTTGATATGTCATCTTAGTAATTGTGGGGTTTATTTTGGTAGTATTGTAAAAAACATTAAGAGGTCTTTATTTTGGTAGTATTGTAAAAAACATTAAGAGGTCTTTATTTTGGTAGTATTGTAAAGAACATTAAGAGGTCTTAACCCACACATTTCCAGTTCTTTGCAACATTGTCTGTGCTTTGATAATGAAGGACTGTCAAAGTCAGCTTAAGTCATTGGACAAATGAATAGAGGTCAACAAGCTTTCAGAATCAAGTTTGTTCTTCCACCCTTTCTTTCATTACACAGGGCCCACTTTCCATCATCTACTGCATCCTTGCCTAGACAATAAAAAGTGTTCTATTAGACAGTAAAACGTGTTCTTTTGGTATTCCTCACATCTATCCTATGCTTTTTAGATTTTTTCAGGACTTATGTTTTCCAATACAGTAGCCACTGGTCACCTATGGCTTTTAAAAGTTATGCTAATAAAGTAAATGAAATGGAAAATGTACTTCCTAAGTCACACTAGCTAAATTCCACACTAACCACATGTGGTTGGTAGCTACGATATCAGACAACACAAATAGTATAAAACATTCCCATTGTTGGGAGTTGTATTAGATAAATGTGCTCTTGCTCCTTGGAGGCAAGTATTTTAAGGCTCCACCTCCCATACTTTGAACTTGTAGCTGGGAGGGACCAGTCTTTGGAGACAGACATCATACTTGGAAGGATAGAAGGACAGTGCAGGAGAGGAAAACCCAGGATAAAATGAATTGACACATTAACTGGGGTAATGAGGGTAAATGGGTGGGAAACAGTGAGATTAGCTCAGGATAGGGCAGGGTTCAGTGCTGTTGTGCATAAGGTTGCTATGAAGTACAGACAACATGTAAGCACATATCAACAACAACATATTGATATAGGTGCTGACACCTTGAGTTCCAGGAAATCAAAGCCTAGGATGTGTCAGCTGGGATAGAGGAAAGAGAGGGTGGGCCTCTACTCTCACATTTGTGCAACAGGTGATGTGAGGCTACAAAGAATACTGTGCAGGAATGAGCACCATGGATCACATTTTGAAATAGGGAAGGGTGTCTTTTCCTGGTTCCTCTTCCCTGACCAGGAGCCATTGCCAATTACATTTTGAAGGATTTTCTCACTGCTCACTGCATAGTCAACTTTTTTCAAACTTCTCTTTAATCAGAGAGGCTGAAGATAAGAATAGACAGGTACCTTAAAGTACCTTGAAGACAGGCACTGGTACAATGTGCTCATGCTGTCATTGTGTTTACTGCTCATTGTTGGCTGAGGAGCTTGAGTGTCGCATAATAGTTGTAGGAGGTAGAAGTATAGATTATCTTTATTATGAGTGATGCTAAAACAAAAGGTGTTCAAAAGAATTTAAATATGTAGAATTTATTCCAGAAGTTAATCTTTATGCATATAAGGAAACCACTTTGTTTAGGCTTATTGTGGGCCTGTTCCAATGACCGGTGCTTTTTTGTTTGTTTGTTTACTTTCTTCACAGATATTAACTCTTTGTTTTAGAGGTCAATCTTTTATTTGGATGAAAAATAACCTCTAGGAGTGACTTCAATTCCAGATTAAAAGTATGTCTTAGGGTAATAGATGGGATTCTTCTAGTCTCTAGCAGTTCAGTAAGTCTGGCCTTGTTTTTTTTTATGAATTTGAAGTATTTGAGGAAGAAACAGAGAATTGAGTAATCTTAGCATGACAGATTGAGTCATGCTTCCCTCTCTGATGTCAGTAGCTTCCAGGTGTCAGATAGTTTTGTGACTTGGCTAGCCCTCAGGTATTATTAACAGAATTTAAATAATAAAAAATTCTCTGAGTACTCAGAAAGTCATAACATTTGATAATTATATTTTAGACAACAGGGAGAATTACCTAAAGTTAAATTATTTTTATGAGCGAAACCCTGAGGTGGTTTATAGTTGACTGATGTCTTAGTCATGGAAGAGCCTTCATGCAGTCTTGTAGTTCCTGTGTCTCAGCATTTCTGCATTGTTTTTTTTTCTGCTTTTGTGTATATTGCATAATATACCTTTGTGAATTTTCCTATATACTCATGGACCTGTCCATTTGATTCTCTCTTTTTTTTTTGTCTTTAGCAGTAGCGATCCATCCCTTGAAATGTTGTAGCAGAAAATGCTAAATGCAAGCACGAGAGTACAAGGAAATGAACATACCTAGGGTGATGGTCATAGAGATATATTTCTTCATGCATATTTGCAGGGTGTTCAGTCTCAGGCTAGGAAGCTGTGGGAGCACAGCTGCATTGCATTTCACCTTGACACACCACAGTAGTGAACCTCACTGGTGCTGTGGACTCCGCACTACTCCAGGTGGACCTGGCTGGGCCATTGGTGGCTGGCCGGATGATCAGCTCTGAGACAGAAGAACACATCGTGGTCAAGATCACTCAAACAGATGCTGTTGGCACCAGATGGAGAAGACCACAGCAGGTCACGTTTTTAAGTTATTTGATTGAAAAGAATTGCAAAACTCGTTGCATCTTACTATTTTTTTGGGGGGGGTTTTCTCTAGAATAGAATTGACGAGGAGTTATGAGACAATGGCACCATTATTAGTTAAGCAATTGACTCTTTAAGAATTTTAATAATATATTTTATTTAACTCAATATATCTGTAACATTATCAGTTTAACACATGAGTGATATAAAATTATTGATGACATAGTTTGAATTCTCTGATTTGGTATTAAGTCTCTGAACTATTGCATGTATTTTGCCTCTGACTTGACTCCTCAGAGCAGCCTCACCCACAGCTAGAATGGACTGTAAAGATCCATATCTTTCTTTTTTATTTTTCATGATGATGGGTTTTTCTTTTATTATAACTTGAGTGAAAGCTTAAAGAATAAATTGGTTTTTTCCATTGAATCATTCATACACATTTTGTTTTATTACATTAGTTACATCACCTACATTTATAGTTATGATATGTTACAGTGCAATACTTTTGATTTGTACCCATTTTTTACATCAGTTATAAATCTTATTTTAATGAAACTAGTCTTATCAGTTCAGAATTACTTTACTTGACAATTCAGAGAAACGCCTTATGTACTTAGTACACACACACACACAAATTTGCAATTGTTAAAAGTACAAGTAATTCTGGATTTCACTTTATAATGTTGAAAATACAAAGCATTTCAGTTCCATTGTAGATTGTCTGTGCCAATTAGCATTCTACTCATGTTCTGTGAAAGGCAGCACTGGCAGGGAGAGTCAGCTGAAGGATGGCTAGAATTTCTTCTCATCTTGCTGCATCCTCTATGTAACCAGGCAGCCCCCAGATCCTAGCCTCTGTGACACACTGAACAGTGACACCAAATTCTGCTTAGAAGTCACATCTCCAGTCAGTATAGACCTTATTCTAGCTAGGAGAAGGAAGCCTTGTTTATACTGTGGGTCAGTTATAGGGCAGAGGCTGGGTTATTGGAAGGGTTTCGAGAGCTCTTGGCCTGTCTGGCTGTATCTCTCAGACATAACTGTGGCACCCTGTGTATTGTGTTCTACTCTGGAAGCCTGTAAAGAACCAGGAAACAAACTGGGAAGAGGTAGGGATTTCCTTCCAACTTGTTTGTATTCATAATCTACCTCTGGCAGACATGAGGGTGTCCTGGAACCCACTTAAAGGGGTCACCCTTATTTTTCCTCCTCCAAAATCTAGCACAGATATCTTTACAGAAAGAATTTTCCAGCTATAAGACATTTGAACTCTAACATGATTATTGGAATTGTGTTCTTTGGTGTACTTTGATACTTTGACCAGTTTCTGAGGTCTTAGTTGTAATTTCTGTTAATCTGTTGTTATTGTCTTTTTGACTACAAGTAGCAAATATCCCATGTGTTGCCAACAGAATAAACTAGTCAATTTCAGAACAAGTGCAACCAGATTTTAGATAATATAAGCTTTGGGTATCCACTTCTGAAATAGCAGGCCACTGAAAACCCTATGTACAACAGAACACACGTAGACTAACAGAAAGGGCAACCTAGGTAGAACTTTCAAGTATGGAAATACAAAGGAAGAGGAACAGTTGTAAGCAGACCCTAGTGATTGGAACATGGAATGTGAGAACCATGAATGTAGGAA